CCTAGTTTCAGCTTCATACCAAAGAGGTAACCCCATAGTTGCTCTGCTCCTGTGCCAACGAAAAACACACGTAGCTCACAGTGTCACGCAGTGTACTCAACTCAGAAGATCAGCGACAAAAGTATATCCTTCCAGTCTACAAATCGAGCAAAAATGCAACGGCCACCGCCTGGCAGAAGCACACACACACAAAAAAATTTGCCACGGCTATAAAATAAAAAGAAATAAAAAAATAAATAAAAAGTGGCTGTGCCTAGCGTCCATTTTGACCAAAGGCATTATATGAGGCTTAATAAATGGTCACCCCAGCAGTACCCTCACTATAAGCTGGGAATAGGGACTTAGGACATTACATCCACAAGCAGGTGTCACCCCTACAACGACCTGACTGCCTTCGTTAACGACTGTTCACCCAACAGCCATGCAGTTCTTTGGCACAAAGGAGACACCTTGAACTTGGGTTTCGTACTGTCGACTCCCTACAAGATGTTATTTTATGTTTTGTTATCACAATCGACGTCACTGCACATTGGGCACACCCATGCGTGCGCAGTTCTCCAAAGCAGCAGCCACTCCAAAGTACTTCTACTAATTGTCCCCATGAGAAGCTGGTTATTTTGTCTCCTTTCTCGGCCTCGAAGACGGCAAAGACGTGCTTCACCATGCTTAACTCCAATGTCACGCAATCATGTAAGTGTCAGGGATTCGTCATTATCCACTAGCCCAGTTCGTACAGCGTTGACGATATCTGCTCTGTCCATGCTTTTTCCTACAATCCTGAGTGCAGTGCTTGCCAGTTGGTCTGCTCGCTCATTTCCCTGTACGCCCGCATGACCCAGTGTGTAGATCCAGGTTACGGAGGTTAAGTGCGATTTCCGAATGCTTTCTATCCATTCAGAGCGCATACTGCCTGTTGCTATCTTCTGAAGCATATTCATTGAGTCTGATACAATTACTGCTTGTGTGGCGGTTCGCTCGGATACCCACGCTAAAGCTCTAGAAGCAATGGCTATTTCCATGGTCATGCTTGACGTGGTTGTCTGGTAAGCGCTGCTGTCCTCATGTATTGTTTTCCCCCTTCTTTGCACTGTGTATGCCCATGCTGACCTTGATCCGCGCTTCAAGGATCCATCTGTGTAGATGATGATATCTTCTGGGTCTGAATGCTGATCTATCAGTTCCCTTTCTTCTGTGTCTACGGCCGCAGGAATCTGATCCCGACAGTACCTTCCGAGTGTGATGACAACCTTAGAGATGCCATGCATGTTGATCCTTTTCTACTTTGTGGTGTAGAGGTTTGCCAGAGAGATCACCAGACTTCTCTGTTATCAGTTTTATTTTTGGCTTTGTTTCATTCAAGTCCTCTGTCAGTCAGGGCTGTCGGATGTTGTCTTCCTAGCAAGCCATTGGTCGTCTAGAGATCTTGTCCCCCGGTTCGTGGCCTCCCATGCCCACCATGGTGGCCGATTGTCTCCCATTCTGCATGCATGGTCAAACCATCGAAACTGTGACTGATCCGTTTAAATATGATGATGACATATTGTCTGGCTGAGAGCATGTTCACTTGGGCCAACTTTCTCAGATACCTCATTTCTGAGGCCTAAAGCTGGCTTCTGTGAGCTGTTGTTATTGCTCATGACTCACACCCGTAGGTCAGGACTGGCACATAGCTAGAGTGGTAAACAGCCATTTTTGCGATGTTGCCAATTTCTTCTTTGCTGAAATAGCTTTTGGCTTGAAGAATTATTGTTAGTCTTTTTCTAATACATCAGAGTTTAAATGAACTTCTATAGTTTTGACACCAAAAAAAAAAGGAACTTTATAGTTTCATCTAAACTCAGATGTTTAACCTTTGCTAAACCTTTTGATGTTTAATGTTTATTGTTCTTGAAAAATGATTACATATTGTTTATGTAATTTTTTTTTTCCAGCTCACAAAATTACACCATCAATGGCAGTTATAAACTGGGAGAATCAGACTGTAGACAGCATTGATAGACAGTACAGAGCCTTGCATGAAACTGTAAGTACTCAGTGAATGAGTTGTGCTGGATTTGAGTTTAAGAACCGACATCATAGCACTTGGGATATTTCCATAAGCACTCTGTCCCCCATCTTCAGCAATCAGCGCAGAGTCCCAGTTACGTTAGTACCAGTAATAGTATGATTCTGTGTCCATCTTGCCTGTCCTGTGTCAGCCAGGTTCCCTGGTTACTTCTGTAACCAAGCAGATAAATAGAAGGGCAGGAGATTTAGGCGAAAAACAGAATGGCTGGGGTTCAACCATGTAAGAGTGTGCTTTTGGAACTGTCGCAGTGCCAGACAGAGAGGGCCCATACTATAATACATGTCATACATTGTAACAAGACTCTGAAGGCATGCTGAGAAAGGTGAAGACAGGGATGCTTTAAGCAGAGTGGCAAGCTTCACTGGGAAGGTCATGGGTAGTGAGCATACTTTGGATCTTTCACTTCAGGCCATCCTGTCATAGTGGGTAATGATCAGGCAGACAGATTGGCTGGATCTGCACCACTGGGTGGTGAATTTGCCTGGAGAGAATGAGGCGCCTGGGTGTAACCAGAGGGTCTGGCCGGCTCACTACACTCAGAGGAAAGGCAAGACGGACATATAACCAGATTGTGACCGGTACCATCAGTATTGGAACTCTGCGCTGGCTGCTGAAGATGAGGACGGAGCACACATGGGAATGCCCCAAGTGCTGTGATGTCAATTCTCAACTCAATTCCGTAACCATGATAGTGAATTAGTGGCCATGACACTATTCATTGCTCCCATAGGACCTTGATAACATTCAGTTTGGACACACTGTTCTTATCATCTCTTTCACTAGCTCAGTCTGAGCCAGACGTTGTTATCGTCCTTTGGGAGTGAGTGAACAACGTGGAGGCACAAACAGATCATTAGTTCTGAGGAATGGTGCTACAGGAAGTGACCAGGAGATCTGGCTGATGCTAAAGGAAAAGGGGTGATGGATATACATACAGGCTGCTACTGCTTTCATTCAAAATGGAACTATGCACTTGCTGCTAAAGATAGGGATGGAGCACTTATGGGAATATTCCGATGTTGATTCAAGATTCAGACAGGATACATAAAGCAAAAACGGCTGTCTTCACAGTTGCAGCATTGGTTGTTTTAATACTAAAGAGCAATGGGGAGGGTGGGGGGAGGAGCATAGAATTAGCAGAATCTAAAGTATATTTAAAGACGAGAAGATCTGCTTCATTTTTGAGTTTCAAAGTTGCCCCCTTGTGGGATGCAATTTTTTTATATTTGAAGCCCCACCCTGGCTTCTGCCGGGGGCCCTAAATATAGCCAGGGCATAGATATGGCCTAGCCATAAATATGGCCCAACGGCTATATTTATACCTGCTTCATTGCATCAGATATTATCCCGTGTGTGATTTGATCAGTTCTTCAGGTGCCCTCTCTGTAGTGAAGGCTGCAATAGATCTCCGACATGTATAGGTAGTGCAATATTCTCAGACAACTGTTGTCAGTCTTGATGCTTCTTCCCCATTGTAGCCTTGTCTACCTTTTTTTCTGTCGTGCCTTTGGCTTTTTCCACCAATATGGGTTTTAAAAGAGTGTTATGTCTTTTAAGTGTGGCTAAAATATAAATATTTAAAAAATTGCTTTTAGCAACTCCTTTTTCATTCTTTCTTTTCAGAACCATTGTGTTTGACTTTTTTCTCTCTCCATACAATATGACCTGTTCTTCACATCTCCGAAGATTCACTTCACATCTCCGAAGATTCACTTCACATCTCTGGAGACTCACTTCACATCTCCGAAGACTCACTTCACATCTCCGAAGATTCACTTCACATCTCCAGAGACTCACTTCACATCTCTGAAGATTCACTTCAAATTTCTATTTACTAGCTTATTGTCCTGGCTTTTGCACCTTTGCGGTTGAGTTGAATACACATAAGCCCGGCTCGCTAGCATAGGTGGTTAAACCTGACTTAGCGGCGACCGGGTGACAGACTCCTTGTGGTCCAGGTTCATGCCTAGGGGTTGGCAGAAAAACCACATTTCTCCCAGATTTACCGAATCTGTCATGGAATCAAGGCCGAAAGGCTGCCATATCCATAGTACTGAGCCAAAGGGTTAACAACTCATGGTTTCGAATATTTACACCAACACACATAAACAAGAATACACTTACAATTTGACAGTTCTGTTCTTATTTTCAATGTCCTGTTTATCTTTCAAACATGACCTTCGCTAAGTGCATCTGCCCGAGAGCAAGGAACCAACAGTCTGCATACAAGTAAGCCATATCGGGGCTGAGTGGTCTTAAGGTATGGCATCTGCTTTGAGTGCTGGAGGTCCCAAGTTCAAACCCATGTGAAGACTGGGATTTTTTCACGTGGACGTAGTAATTTCCCCTGGTCTCTTGGTAGCAGTAGTAATTTTCCCTGGTCTCTGGGTAGCAGTAGTAATTTCCCTGGTATCTGGGTAGCAGTAGTAATTTTCCCTGGTCTCTGAGTAGCAGTAGTAATTTTCCCTGGTCTCTGGGTAGCAGTAGTAATTTTCCCTGGTCTCTGGGTAGGAAGACTTGATGCCCGTGTGTATTGTTGCGCACTTAAAAATATCTCTTGGCAGTTGGAAATCCACAAAAGAGTAGCCTAACGGAACTGCCTGGCAAAATTTGAAGCTAAAATCTACCCAACATATTTCATGAAGTTCTTTAGACTCAGGCTTGAGTTAGAAGTAGAACAGAGCACTTATGGGTTACACCTGTGTGCCGTGATGTTGATCCGTTGAGTAAACATCATAAAGCCAGATAATATAATGGTTTGGGACCAAGACTAAAGTCTAGAAGTGGATGAACAGTCGAAACTTTCTGCCAAAGTTCACAGCCGGCCCGTAAGATGAAGAAGAAGAAAATACAGTGGACTCTTTCATATTGGAACATACCTGAAAATAAAGATATAGTACATATAATAAACAAACAGACAATGTATTGATCGGCACTCGTAGAAAGATAGAAGGACACACTAGACAACATAAAATTCAAAAGCTTTAGCCACCTTGTCAGAAATCGAACCTGTCACTTCCAAATGGCGTGTTCTCGATGAAAACAAGTGTACCAAGAACATGACCATTAGGCACCCTCCCCCCCACCCCACCCCAAAAGTGACTTTATTGGCCGTGTCTGTTGTACAGAGGCTGTAGACTGGTATAGGCAGGTGGAAGACTACCTGAGCCTGTTATAACCTATGATGAGACCGATTGATTGGTTTTTTTAAAAGCATCAGTTAACGACATGGAAATCAGATCTTTCAGGCCGTCAGAAAGATGACGCATGTTACCATAGTTACCAGTGTGAAGAAGTAACAATCTTCGCTGTCAACACAGAACACAACACACTGAGATATTTGTCAATCGACACTCATAGAAAGAATTAGAAAGATAGAAAGACACACTAGACAAAAGTCTGGTGACAGGTTTGATTCCCGGCACGGTAACTGAAGCTTTTGATTTTTATGTTATCTAGTGTGTCATTGTATCTTTTTACATCTTTCGATGAGTGCCGATCAGTACATTTTCTGTTTATTTATTGCATATATAATAGGAGATATTTGTTCAGTGGCATATGTGGCGCCGCACCAGGACAGGACACCACCTGTCAAGACCTGTCGAAACCTCTCGTTGGTCAGTCTACACACAGGAGCCTGGCCAGTGTAGGTAGCATATACGTTTCCTCCAAGTCAAGAATGCATCTGCCTGAGAGAGGCCAGGAGCCAACAGTCTGCACACAAAAAAGACAGTTATGTGAAACGGACGTGCACACAGCAATCAAGTCCTGGAACAAAACAATAAAGCTCAGAAGTGGGTAAAAGATTGGGATTTTCTGCCTGAGTTTACATCCAATGAGCACACGGAGAAGAGAGGAAACTTGACCGCCAGTCTAAAGATAGGAAACACAGGTCAATGCCAGTGTCTTCTTCTTTTGCCCGTCTAGCCCCCAATGGAGCATAAGCCCTTAATCGAACTCATGCCAAGTCATTCTGTCCTTTGCTATCGCAAGCAGCTCTCCCCATGTCCTCCCCATCTTTCTAACTTCATTCTCCAGCTTCCTTCTCCATGTTTTTTTTTTTTTTTTTTTGGCCTTTCTTTATTATTATGCCCCTGTGGGTTCCAATGCAAAGACATTCTAGTTATATTGTTCTCCGGTTTTATCAATGTGTGTCCTATCCAACACCAGTATCTTTTCTTCACCTCTTGGTCTACTAGAGCTTGCTTAGTTCTCTCCCCAAGCTCTACACTAGTGATTCTATCATACCATTTAATTCCCTCTATTCTGCGCAGGCACCAGTTAATGAATGTCTGTAGTTTATTAGTAATTTCCTTAGTTATTCTCCATGTTTCCGCCCCATACAAAAGTACTGATTTGACATTAGAATTAAACAATTTTTATTATATGATGCCTACAATTTGCTCTGAGAGTTGTCCACATATACCAATTTTTTTGCTCTCAGTCCCTACAATTATAACTTAAACTCCTTCAGTCAGAGAGAGTTATAATGTTAACTCCTTCAATTACGGATAGTTCTTGCTTCAGCTCCTTCGGTTACAGCGCTATAACTTTGAACTTCTTCAGTTACGGAGTTAAAACTCCTTTGATTACGGACACTGATAACTTTAATTCTTTAAATTACAGACAATGGTAACTTTAATTTCTTTACTCCCAGAAAGATTACTTTAACTCCTTTTTTCACAGTTATTACTTTAACCTTTTCATAGACAGTTTATTTAATTAAAATCTTCATTCTCAGACATTATTAATCCTGATTCCTTCATCAAGACCCAAAACATTTTCAGGAAGAGCTACGTACCGACTGGGAGGGCACAACAGTCAGGCTGATTGACAAGGTCGACGATGCCATCAAGCCAGGTATTGCATAATCATCTTCTTTGTTTTTGCTATCAGTTTTTTTTTTATGTGTAGTTATCTGATAGTGCTTTCACCTTAAAAAAGGACCAAAAGAAAAAGAAAGAAATACATAGTTATCCGATAGCACATTTTATACGTTGAGGGAAAGCCCTTTACACCTAAAAACTATCAATGATCAAGATGTGAAAGAAAAGTTGATTGGTTGCTTCAGTTAAAGATATTCTTGCATGCAATTTGAACGATTTCATGCAGTAAATTACAAAGATTTTGAACGTTAAAATTATGTTCCTTTCAGTAGCTGTGCAGTTTTTCCCCCGTGGGGTAGTAAAGTGCCATAGGATAACTGCATTAAAAAAAAATAAATAATCAGTGCATTATTATTATCCTACCCCAAACAGGGGAAATCCACAGGTCACGGGACAGCCTAATATGTCAGGGGGTGGTAAGTAGGCTGCATGCAGTCTTATAGATCAATCGGCACCTGGTAGGTAATGTGGTCAGCATCACGCCGGTCACCTTTACTTCCCTTCCGGGACTGCACCCGGTATCCAATCAATGCTGAGTCAACCTGGGAGCCAAGGTCATTTTTGAAAAAAAAAAAAAAAAAACTGGCTTCGCCGGGGAGCAAACCCATGACCTTCCGATTCGCGAGCGAGCGTCTAGCCGCTCCGCTATGACAACTCCCGAAAAGAGGGAATGCAAATAAATACCTGGATGACTTTGCTGTATGGATGAGGGGAGACAAGAACATTGACTTGATCTGTGATTTGCAGAGATGGCGTGAGAAATGGGGAAACTTGACAGCCTAGATTCCGAGGCCCCCACTTTGAGAGGGGAAAAAATCAACCCATTACCTCTTAACCAGTAAATTTACAGAACACAAACTGTGGTGTTAGAAAACTTGATGACAGGGCGTTACTCATTGATAAATGATTTCTTCCCTCTGTAGGTCCAAGGACCCATTTTTGGGAAAACAAGAATAGACCCACTGCCTTCTCAACAAGCATGTCATAGGAGTCGACTAACTGGGGACTTTCTTCAAAGTTGGAGTGCATCTGCCCGAGCGGCAAGGAGCAACCAACTGCACAAAAATAAGCCAGTAAAACGGATGTGTACGCAACCAGGCCCTGGCACAAAGCCAAAGTCCAGATAAACGAACCACCGGGACTTTCTGCGGAGCTTACCAACTGGTGAACAAAGAAGAAGAAGAAAAAGGCTTTGGCTGAAATGTTTTGTTTTGTTTGTTGATCTTTATAGATTCCAATTTCTTCTTCTTTTCCCCCCTAGAGTTTGAGAGAATAACAATGCGTTTCTTTCTAGTGTGCTTTGGAAAAAAGGTTATTTCTTAAGTTGCCAGCCACGGGAATCAAACCCTGGGAAATGTTGAGAAATGCATTAAAAGGGTTAATGGTCAATGTTTGTTTCAGCTGTCCCACTGGGAGAGTTAAAAGGGTTAATGGTCAATGTTTTTTTTTTCAGCTGTCATGCTGGAAGAGTTAAAAGGGTTAACCATCAATATTTGTTTCAGCTGTCCCACTGGAAGAGTTAATGGTCATTGTTTGTTTCAGCTGTCCCACTGGGAGAGTTAAAAGAGTTAATGGTGTTGTTTGTTTCAGCTGTCCCACTGGGAGAGTTAATGGTTGTTGTTTGTTTCAGCTGTCCCACTGGGAGAGTTAAAAGAGTTAATGGTCGTTGTTTGTTTCAGCTGTCCCACTGGAAGAGTTAATGATGTTGTTTGTTTCAGCTGTCCCACTGGGAGAGTTAATGGTCGTTGTTTCAGCTGTCCCACTGGAAGAGTTAATGGTCGTTGTTTCAGCTGTCCCACTGGGAGAGTTAATGGTCGTTGTTTGTTTCAGCTATCCCACTGGGAGAGTTAATGGTCGTTGTTTCAGCTGTCCCACTGGAAGAGTTAATGGTCGTTGTTTGTTTCAGCTGTCCCACTGGGAGAGTTAATGGTCGTTGTTTCAGCTGTCCCACTGGCAGAGTTAATGGTCGTTGTTTGTTTCAGCTGTCCCACTGGAAGAGTTAATGGTCGTTGTTTCAGCTGTCCCACTGGGAGAGTTAATGGTCGTTGTTTGTTTCAGCTGTCCCACTGGGAGAGTTAAAAGGGTTAATGGTCAATGTTTTTTTTTTTCAGCTGTCATGCTGGAAGAGTTAAAAGAGTTAATGGTCGTTGTTCGTTTCAGCTGTCCCACTGGAAGAGTTAATGGTCGTTGTTTCAGCTGTCCCACTGGGAGAGTTAAAAGAGTTAATGGTCGTTGTTTCAGCTGCCCCACTGGGAGAGTTAAAAGAGTTAATGGTCATTGTTTCAGCTGTCCCACTGGGAGAGTTAAAATAGTTAATGGTCGTTGTTTGTTTCAGCTGTCCCACTGGGAGAGTTAAAACAGTTAACGGTCGTTGTTTGTTTCAGCTGTCCCACTGGAAGAGTTAAAATAGTTAATAGTCGTTGTTTGTTTCAGCTGTCCCACTGGGAGAGTTAAAAGAGTTAATGGTCATTGTTTCAGCTGCCCCACTGGGAGAGTTAAAGGTCATTGTTTGTTTCAGCTGTCCCACTGGGAGAGTTAAAAGAGTTAATGGTCAATGTTTCAGCTGTCCCACTGGGAGAGTTAAAAGAGTTAATGGTCGTTGTTTGTTTCAGCTGTCCCACTGGGAGAGTTAAAAGGGTAAATGGTCAATGTTTCAGCTGTCCCACTGGGAGAGTTAAAAGGGTTAATGGTCAATGTTTCAGCTGTCCCACTGGGAGAGTTAAAAGGGTTAATGGTCAATGTTTCAGCTGTCCCACTGGGAGAGTTAAAAGAGTTAATGGTCATTGTTTCAGCTGTCCCACTGGGAGAGTTCAAAGAGTTAATGGTCATTGTTTCAGCTGCCCCACTGGGAGAGTTAAAAGAGTTAATGGTCATTGTTTGTTTCAGCTGTCCCACTGGGAGAGTTAAAAGAGTTAATGGTCAATGTTTTAGCTGTCCCACTGGGAGAGTTAAAAGAGTTAATGGTCGTTGTTTGTTTCAGCTGTCCTACTGGGAGAGTTAAAAGAGTTAATGGTCAATGTTTCAGCTGCCCCACTGGGAGAGTTCAAAGACTTAATGGTCATTGTTTCAGCTGTCCCACTGGGAGAGTTAAAAGAGTTAATGGTCATTGTTTGTTTCAGCTGTCCCACTGGAAGAGTTAATGGTCGTTGTTTGTTTCAGCTGTCCCACTGGAAGAGTTAATGGTCATTGTTTGTTTCAGCTGTCCCACTGGCAGAGTTAAAAGAGTTAATGGTCATTGTTTCAGCTGCCCCACTGGGAGAGTTCAAAGAGTTAATGGTCGTTGTTTGTTTCAGCTGCCCCACTGGGAGAGTTAAAAGAGTTAATGGTCGTTGTTTGTTTCAGCTGTCCCACTGGAAGAGTCAAGTCCACCAGGTCTTCCCATCTTTGACAAGCTGAATGACATTTTGTGGGTGAAATGTCAGGTAGGTGTCAGTTCCTTTGTCACTCTTTAGATTATCAGGAACAGACTGAAAAAAAAAAAACCCACATGGGTTTAACCATGAACAAAGATTTCCTGAAATGCCTGCAGAGGACAGAACAAGTCATCATTTTTCACTGATGCACTGGACACTGCAGGCTCAGCAAACACTCATAATGTGTGTGCATTAGGTTTGAGCCAGACAACTCTTTGCCAGTGTCTTCGTGTTGAATAGACTCCAGAACATGTCTTACAAGACTGAGTTATGAGTTAGATTATCTTCACAGCACTCCAGACACATCCATATGCGCTCAGATTTCCCGCTCAACATATTTGCCATGCCAGCGTCATGCGGTTAATAGTGCCAGTCCTGTGTTTGTTAACAAGACTTCGTGTGCGCCCAGTGTGCTTCTCATGCTTGGCTGTGTCGATCTTTACTCCCAGTTCACGTATTCTTAGCAGTGATGTGGACACGTTACTTCCAAAATCCTCAGATAGCCCTGTCTCTCTAAGGGCAGTGACAATGTCTGCATGATCCATGGGCCGGCCATCTTTAATTAATGCAGCAGTCTATCAGCTCTTTTATTACCAACAAGGCCTGCATACCCTGGGACGAATATGAAGGTGACTGCACACACAGGAGAGTTTTGCAATCACTCAAACCACTGTCTGCGTAACCGACCTGCCGGATCATGCTCAAAGAATCACTCAACACACACAGGCAGGAATAGTCCTGTGATTCTAGCCACATGAAAGCTTGTCACCGCCATCACCTCCAATCTCATGCTGCTGGTAGTCGTGGAGAAGGCACCGCTGGCTTCTTGAACTCTTCTGCTGTAAATGCCTATGCACTCTTATGTCCTTACAAGACTTGTCTTCTCCTGGAGGAGCTCAAAACAGCATATGGTCACTCCCATCAGATCTAACTACTAAGCTCTGGGAGGAACCTGAGAGACTTGGAGCTGAAATCCCAGCTTAAGGCTGATAGTGGACTGTGTTGACTTCTGTGACATGCTTGAAGGGTGGCGTCAGGGTCTGTGGCTTAGGAGTTGCAAATGCTTCGTAATGCCAGGGTGCCGGGTTTGATCCCGGCTGCGGATGATTTGTCTTGTGTTGGTTTCGGCATTGGTACTCAGAGCTGACAGTTCAGTAGCAAGGGCAAACTATTGAACGTAAAACTTGCCTAGAAAAACCGCAACAGCCAAAAAATGCTGGGGTTGGTTCTGCAACGTCCTGTAAAAGATCCACAACTAACTTTGTAAGATGGCAGTGGATATGTCCCCCCACCCCACCCCTCTCCAAAATGGGCTCCCAGAACCCAAACAGAGATCTTTTATTCACGAAATGCCAAACAGGCATGTATGTTGCTTCCCTTCTTTCCTGGAGTTAGTTGCATATCCTTTACAGGACTTTGTCGAATCAACCCCAGCATTTACTGGCTGTTTGGTTTTACTAGGCAGCTTTACTTTCAGTAATTTGGCATTGCTTTCTGAATGGTCAGCTACCACTACTGTTTTAGAAACTAATGCAAACCAATTTGTTGCCAAATCCCCTGCTGCTGGAATTGAACTGAGCACCTCTGAATTACAAGATGCACTCGTAATGCCTGAGCCACAGACGCTGACTATTCATTAGAACATTGACAAAATTATCAGTTAACCATTTGTTGCCCGCCACGCTGGCCAGGAGGTTAGTTTAGAACACTTTTCTGGCAAATATTTCAGAACAGTTTGGACCACGTAGAAATACCTTGAGAACACTTTTGGTCGATTCCAAGAATTGATGCAATTTTGGTTTAAATAATACTGTAGAGGACCCATGTCCTCTGTTGCACAGACACATATATCACTTTTATAGCACACATATCAATTACATGGACACATATCACTTTTATAGCACGCATATCAATTACATGGACACATATCAATTACATGGACACATATCACTTTTATAGCACACATATCAATTACATGGACACATATCACTTTTATAGAACACATATCACTTAAATACACACATAAAATACACACATATCAATTACATGGACACATATCAATTACATGGACACACATCACTTTTATAGCACACATATCAATTACATGGACACATATCACTTTTATAGAACACATATCACTTAAATACACACATAAAATACACACATATCAATTACATGGACACATATCAATTACATGGACACATATCACTTTTATAGAACACATATCACTTAAATACACACATAAAATACACACATATCAATTACATGGACACATATCACTTTTATAGCACACATATCAATTACATGGACACATATCACTTTTATAGCACACATATCAATTACATGGACACATATCACTTTTATAGCACACATATCACTTAAATACACACATATCAATTACATGGACACATATCACTTACATGGACACATATCACTTTTATAGCACACATATCAATTACATGGACACATATCAATTACATGGACACATATCACTTTTATAGCACACATATCACTTTTATAGCACACATATCAATTACATGGACACATATCAATTACATGGACACATATCACTTTTATAGAACACATATCACTTAAATACACACATAAAATACACACATATCAATTACATGGACACATATCAATTACATGGACACACATCACTTTTATAGCACACATATCAATTACATGGACACACTATCACCCCCATTTTATAGAACACATATCACTTAAAATACACACATAAAATACACACATATCAATTACATGGACACACTATCAATTACATTGGACAATATCACTTTTATAGAACACATATCACTTAAATACACACATAAAATACACACATATCAATTACATGGACACATATCACTTTTATAGCACACATATCAATTACATGGACACATATCACTTTTATAGCACACATATCAATTACATGGACACATATCACTTTTATAGCACACATATCACTTAAATACACACATATCAATTACATGGACACATATCACTTACATGGACACATATCACTTTTATAGCACACATCAATTACATGGACACATATCACTTTTATAGCACACATATCAATTACATGGACACATATCACTTTTATAGCACACATATCACTTAAATACACACATATCAATTACATGGACACATATCACTTTTATAGCACACATATCACTTTTATAGCACACATATCACTTAAATACACACATATCAATTACATGGACACATATCACTTTTATAGCACACATATCAATTACATGGACACATATCACTTTTATAGCACACATATCACTTTTATAGCACACATATCAATTACATGGACACATATCACTTTTATAGCACACATATCAATTACATGGACACATATCACTTTTATAGCACACATATCACTTAAATACACACGTATCAATTACATGGACACATATCACTTTTATAGCACACATATCAATTACATGGACACATATCACTTTTATAGCACACATATCACTTAAATACACACATATCAATTACATGGACACACAGCATCATCACCGAATAGCAAGTTCTTTGCACCATTGTCCTCATCACTATCATCATATGGTGTTGTTTGCCCATTTTTTCAGTCAGCTGTTAATTTTTTTTCTTGTTTATTTGTCTGCTGTATTATATTGTTGTTGTCTGTAACTGTTATTACAATCATTTTTTTGTCTGTGTTGTTCAAAAACTGTTCTCTCTGACTTGACAGGATGGCTGGGTCGCTTTCAAACATGTGGTCATCAGGAAAAAAATGTCAGCAAAGTCGTTTTACAACGGCTACCTGTCGAAGAAATACCTCCAAGGTGTGGCCTTCAAGAGTGCCGCCAGCAACGAGGAGTACCAGCACAGGATCACTCAGCAGAAGCCGTCGTGACAAGAGATGTTTTGATTGTGTGCAGTGGTTGTAAAATATGAGTTCTGTTACAAGCAGTAAACATCTGTTGGTCAGATTTTTTCATGTAAATTGAGTGAAGTTGGCAAATAAATGTGCTTTGTGGGTTTCTCATTCTTTTAGAGCTGTTTAAAAAAAAATTATATTGTTAGTCCTTATGTTTGTTTATCATATGTGTCCACAGTTGTCTGTTTTGCCAAACATTCCTCATACAACCACCTTATTGTCTGTCTGTTTTGCCAACCATTCCTCATACAACCACCTTATTGTCTGTCTGTTTTGCCAACCATTCCTCATACAACCACCTTATTGTCTGTCTGTTTTGCCAACCATTCCTCATACAACCACCTTATTGTCTAACATCACCGGTCTTGTTTTACTCTGTCCTGCTCCAATTTTCAAGAAGAAGTAAATATTACATGTTACATGTGTTGGGAAATAAACAGGCAGATAGACTGGCTGGTGCTGCAGCACTGGGTGATCACATGACGAATGACAAGCTAGAAGATATTGGCCCAAAAGCCATTTGGGAGCAAGTAAACAATGTGGTCGTGAGAACAGATCATTACGGTGTGATGGGGAGTGATCTGGCTGACACTACACTCAGGGTAAAGGCAAGACAGACAATCAAGCTGCTCAGGAACTGGAAATTTTTGCTGAAGATGAGGATGGAGCACGTAAGGGTGGTGGTCCCAAGTGCTGTGATGTCAGTTCATGACCCAGCTCAGTTAAATATTAAAGGACTTTTTTTTTAAACGCCAGTTTCACATCAGGTGTATGATGGTAGACCCAGATTTGTACAGACCAATCAACTATTGGTCAGTGATGCAGTCAACATCACTAAGGTCATGTTTACTTCTCACAACATTATCTGGCACACTTTTTTAAACTGGGTCGACCCGGGAGCCAAGGTCAGTTTTGAAGGGTGTAGCTGAAACCTGCAAAAAGATGAAAAAAAGTTCCTCATTCAAGCTCATTCAGGAGGAAGAGAAGCGCAAGACAAATACAGGAAACTACGACACTGGGCTACAACCTGGTGAGATGACCAAAAAAAAAGAAGTTTCTTGGTGCAGAGTTGAAGCAAATTAAAGTTGATTTTCTTTCCTTTGGGGGAAAAAAAGGGGGGGGGGGGTGGTAAGATTTTTATGGGGTGAAAGGGTAAGGCTAAGGGTGAACACAGAAAAAAGAAAAGGGGTCACCGTGGCGAAGTGGTCAAGCCTTTCGCCTCACGCTGTGATGGGTGTGGGTTCATTTCACGGCTGCCTCATTCAGTTCACAAGTGCAATATTTATGGAGATCCCTGGGGATTCTTGCTGGAGCTACTGAGTTTGTGCTTTTTGCAATGCTCTCGGCAGGTGGCTAGCTGTTCTGCAGAGGGGAGACAGCGCAGTACGGGATAAAACCGGTGCAATAACGTTGATCCTCTTAAATTACCCTTCAACTTTTAAACAGAAGAAGAAAAGGAATCTTAACTTGATCACCAAACTGGTGGGGCAAAAAGGTCAGTTAGAACTAGAAACAGAAATGACACTATATTAAATTGCTCTGCAGGTCCCCTAGTGCCTGGGTGAGTTTCTTTAACTTGGTTTCCATGGCTCGCTTGTTGGCTTCTGTTTCTTGGAGCAGATCACGCATCTCGTCTTCTACAATGGATACCTGTTGGGGGGAAGGATAGAGGGAAATTTTGTTGTGTGTGTTAGTTTTTTTTACTGAAGTAACAAGTGTGTGTTTGTCTGTGTCTGAATGACAGAGAGAAGTGGTGTCAGGTTTGGTTTTCCCCCACTCAAGTAATGTGTGTGACAAGACACCAGTGATGTTCTATGTGTTTTCATCAAATAATTTGTGTGTTTAATGTGTGTAAGTGATGTTCGGTTCTTTATTAATATCCTACCCCAGATGACATCACAGGACAGTCCGACATTTTAGAGGGAGGTAAGACTGGGTTTCCCGGCTTTCTGATGCTTTTAACGACCCCAAAACATATAGAACTGGCCCTAACCCCAACCCACCTACGTCCCACGAGAGAGTGCAGCCTAGGTCCCATGACTGCATGCAGCCTATCTACCACCCCCTGAAATATTAGACTGTTCCATGACCTGTGGATTTTCCATGTTTGGGGTAGGATATTAATAAAGCACCTGATGTTCTGTGTGTCAGTAATGTGTGTGTGTGAGGGAGGGAGAGACATTCTGTGTGTCTCTTTTCAGCCTCCTGTGAGAATATAGAAATAATCATAAAAACGGGAAAATCCATCATCTTAAATGATGAAGCATAGGAGTTTGAACAATTTTATACCTCAGATTATGGTTACTACAGATAGGGATTTAGACAAGAATATAAAAGGCAAGACTGAATAAAGCAAACAAGGCATTGCCATGCTTAACAATTTATGGAAGTCAAGAAGCTTAGTCAAAGACAAAACGCAGAGTGTACAAGAGCTGTATTTTTGAAACACTATTAAATAACAGTGAGTGTAAGGGCTCACTGAAAGACAACGTCCTGCTATTCCTGACTGACAGCATCTGACAGCCCCTGACTGACAGCATCTGAACAGTCCCTGACTGACAGAGGAATGGAATGGAACAAAGCAAAAGAAAACTGTAGACAGACAAGTCTGATGATTTATCTGACAAACCTCTATATCCCACAGCAGAAGAGGATCGAGTAACTAAGTAACTGTGGGTGTTGGAAACTGACAGAAGGAATCACAAACTTGAGACTGTCCAAAAATAAATGTCCCCAAGGAGAATCCTGCAAATATTTAGACCAAACAAGACCTCCAAATGAAGAATGAGGAGGAAAACAAAATGTTCATCACTGGTAAATGTTATCAAAGGAAGGAAGATGGAGAGGGTTTGGACATGTCTGCAGAATGCTTCATGACACTTTGGCAAGGACAGCTTTCCTATGAAGGGCAGAGAGAAGAAGAGAGACATGGACATCATAGGGCAGGGCTATATTCAACTGGCAGCCTAAATGTGGGCCTGCAGATCATTGCCAGTTGTACTGAATTAATGTGATCTTTCTATTCTGGGGCTTGTGTCTCTGGCCTGTGACGAACAGCATTTTCAAAGTCTGGTGAAAAAGTCCTGACCTAAGGTAACTCGGAGAAGGACAGCAGGAAGGGGGAAATGAAGGAATGTATATAAAATAAAACTGGATAACACAGGCAGAAAGCTGCAACAATGGAGATGACTTGTGAATGCCTTTTGTGTCAGTAGAGATGAGAAGAGGACACACAGACAGAATGTTTTGTGTCAGTAGTGATGAGAAGAGGACACAGACAGAATGTTTTGTGTCAGTAGTGATGAGAAGACACAGACGGAATGCCCTTTTGTGTCAGTAGAGATGAGAAGAGGACACAGACAGAATGTTTTTGTGTCAGTAGAGATGAGAAGAGGACACAGACAGAATGCCTTTGTGTCAGTAGTGATGAGAAGAGGACACAGACAGAATGCCTTTTGTGTCAGTAGTGATGAGAAGAGGACTCAGACAAAAATGCCTTTTGTGTCAGTAGTGATGAGAAGAGACACAGACGGAATGCCTTTTGTGTCAGTAGTGCCATGAAGAGGACACAGACAGAATGTAATAATTCAACATAAAAAGTGAACTACTCTCTTGAATGCTACAAGGAATTGGTGGAGAGATTACAAACTTAACAGTAAACATCAACAAGTCCCCATCAGCAGACTCACAGAAAGCAACATACAGCAATTTTTTCCGTCTACGATCAGGACACCGCAGGCGCACTACTACCACATGCAAAGAAAAAAAAACAATTGTAGTCACTCACAGTGGGCTTGGTCAGACGGGACCACAGACACCTGAGGCACATTTCTGCAGACCTGCCCACTGTAACCTATAACAAAAAGAGAGACCCCGGCCCTCAAGAGCAAAGTTACCGAGCAAGCCTATGAGGATCCATGACCAGACCTGCAGCTGACATGCAAGAGTTTCATACAGGCTTACCCATCTGACGGGTCTGACCCTGAGCATACAACACCGAACACAAAGAAGACAGAAATGAGGAAAGCAAAACAGTTATGAAGAGAGGATGTACTGAATGAGTTTAGACAAAAGAAGTTTTAGAATTTGGGTCACAAATAGGACTGTGGCGTTTAAGGTTCGCCATGCGTCCCATCCATAGCTTCTTTTGCAATGTAGCTCTCTTGTGCCAGATCCCAAGTCTTTGCTAAGGAGATCGTTATTGGCAGCCCTGCAAGTAATGTGCCCAGGGGTTCTGTCTTTCTGCTCACAATCACAGTTGAGCAGATTCTTTTATGCCTATCTCGTACAGGTGTGCTCCGAAGACACACAGTGGTCCTGTCCGAGTGTCTAAAAATTTGTGTTTTTTTTTTCCTGTTGAGTTTGTTTATGCTGTCACTTTCTGGGTCCTGTAATCTCCATACTGCCTTCATCCAACTCCCGCTTGAAAAACTGCTTTAGCGCTGTTTTTGGTTTTCCTTGTAGCTGTGTGGTGGTGGATAGGTTGTGGAAGATTACGCCCACTTTTTGCCAATTCATCTGCTCTCCTCATTTCCTTAAATACCACAGTGGGCTGGTATCCACTGCAAGACCAGTTCTGCCTTCCTTGGAAAGTGAGCCAATGTTTGGTCCTTAGGCTCTGCAATTAGTTTTGTTCTTGTTTTTTTGCTGGTATAGGTTAATGTTACTAAAAGGTTGCTAATTACTAAAAGCCTGAAAGTTCTACTAAAAAGCCACAGTTGGACTTCAGTAAAAATCTACTTTGCCTTTTTTTATTGGCCAATTCCCTTCCTGGGCCTGTTGCTTCTCAAAATCTAACTGAGTTATCTTTTCCATTCCTGAAGAGAGGCCTCCTTCATCTCCAATCTGCTGGCGGAAGGCAGTGTCTGCGCCTGAGCTGGTCAATGGCTTGTCCTAGACAAACAATATTATAAAACATCATCATCATCATGTAGCAGGTCCTGTGCAGAACATTGCTCTCATCTCTCCCGCCTGAT